CAAGCTAAAAGAAGGCAAAAGCTGCTGTTGAAACCTTTGAAAATACAGAGTGCAGCTCTGTTTGTAATTAGGCATGATGAGAGGTTGTTATGTGCCTGCAGAAAATCTTTGAGCTCATGTCACCCACATTATCCTCTCCTCTCTTCCTCCCACGTGGGAAATGACAACACATGGGTGGTAAGACACATGTGGAGAGCAATGTGTGCTGCTTACCGTGCATACACAAGAGACTTAGACGTGAGCAGCCAGGTGGAAATGCCTAATGGCAGGAAAGTTGTCTGATTGAGGGACCATATGAGTGATTGTTTTTACTCTGTAAGATCTACAACAACTAACACAACTAGGTATCATTAATGACCATTACATATACATAAATTCACAAGATAACACTTACATAGAGGTACTTGAATTGGGGATGTTGTTGTGACAGTCACGGTTCCGCACGGGGTCATGCCCCCCGCCGCCTGTTCCATCCCCCACACCTGGGGCGCGAACCCGGGTCTCCGGCGTAACACAACAGGGCACCAACCGAGTGAGCTAAAGGAGACCTCCCTCAGCCCAGGCAGCTGAGGACCCTGCTACACGCAGGGAGGGCGCTGACATCACCACACCAGCTCCGCTACATTGTGCACATCAACAGACCTACTGTATATTCCAGGAATAACAGTACTCTCCCTGCCACCCCATGACATTCAGGTGTTTGTGCTCTGCTCAGGGAGAATAGGCACATACTGCATTACAGTTACAGACAATGCAACAATGACTAAATCAGAACTGAGGTAAACTTTGTGAAAGCAATAAATTCAATACTGCATATGAAAGGCTTATTTGCCTTTGGGCATGAATGCTTTTTAAAATCTGGATTATGTGCCACAGACACGTAAGCTAAATCACTCAGCCAAACAAAATTGACCTTGAGCTTTCCCTGTTTAATGCATGTAGCCCTGCTGGATTAAAAGAGCTGAGATGACTAGGAATTGTCTGGCATATTTTCAGAATGATGGCAATAATTGTCTTATAACCAACCAAATGTACATCTAAGCAAAGTGGAAAGTTTTTTTTTCCAGTTTTGCAAATTCACATTTAAGTTCTTCAATAACATCAGAAATGCATAGTTTAAAATTGGAATGAGTGAAAAAAAGTAAATCACCCAGATCTGAATGAGTATTAACATTTAGTAGTATATGTTTTTGAACTCTAATATTCCTAAAAAAAATAGTCTAATCTGATTTTATAAAAACATGCTCAATATCAATTTATACTAATTTCACTGATGTTTGCTACACTTTTGAACTATATCATGGCTGCAGATGCAAATGTTTTTACATATTTGTGTTCACTAGTGTATATGTACTGCCATATTTCTATTTTTTTAGAAAGTCACCTTGCAACCATTAGCCTATTCATTGACATCTGGAGCTAACGGGGATACAAATGACGTTTGTGGCATGAGGGAGTTAATGGAATTTGAGCTCCAGAGCTGCTTTGAAAAATGCTCTTCTACACCGTACAGTTACTAACAACTGACTGGGAGACATGGATAATATGGTGAGCTGTTGCGTAGTGGGCCAATAACCATAAACCTGTACCATACTTAACTGTGTTTTACTAATAACCTAATCTCAGTTAATAATCTCTTCCACATTTAAAAAAGCAAGAGCACTAAGTTAATTGATCAAATCCTTTGACACGGTTGGAAGAGAATCTATTTAGAGCAGAAGGGTGCTGCTAGGATGCAGGTGCTGCAGGGATCTTATTCACCTCTCGTCTTGCTGTGCAGTTTGAGCAGGCCACAGATAGGGTTGCAGTAGAAGCTGGCTGCTGGGAGTAACCACCCTGCTCACGTTATACGCTCTGCCCGGTGCAGATGTTGGTGGCTGCGCTGCCCTGTGTGTCCTTCTGCATGGTCTAGATGCCCAGGGGAAAGTCTACATGCACAGGGGTCAGGGGTTCAGAGATAAATCAAACTAACTCGGCAGGACAGAATTTGGCAAAAGGTACTGTTGCAACGCTCGTGGCATACTGTGTTTGATAGATGTCAGAAGTACTTGATCAGTGATGCTGTGAGAGACTTTCCATTTTGGTAGCTGATGAAGGCTTATAGTACACTTGCTATTACTACATCCACAGTAGTGCTTTAGGGTTGTTTCTTTGAGTAAGTGTGCGCTGGAGTGTCTTCTGTTACATGCAACTGAGTGGAGATTTGCTTAGGGAATGGCTAAGAGTGCCTTTAGGTTTTCAGCCGTCTCATTTTACAGTGTTTGTGTCTGCAGCTTTTGAACAGGATCACTTAATTGTTGTAAAAAAAACAAATGGAACTTTCTAACTTCAGGTTCCAATTTCGACTAAGATTAAGTATTGCTTATTTTGGCAGGAACAGGGAGATTGGGTTAATCGTGATTTCTTATGTTTTAATACATATGTAACACTCCATGCTCATTATCTAACCTCTCTATAAGCCAAGTCCATACGGGGGGTTAGAAACGATTCTGGTCTGTCTAGTATTAAGCGACACTAAGGTTTCCTTGTCTGAAGCAGTCTAGGATCTGTGCCAGTCAGGTAAAATTGAAATTGTGTTAATAGCATAGTTTGTGCACGTGCTAATTCAGATCAAATTTGTGTTCTTTGTATTCCAGCAGATGTTGCATCAGGATAAGGTTCTTATCCAGGGTGCAGCTGGAGAAGACCCTCACTGCTGCTTGGGCTTCAGAACACACTGTGTGATGGTAATTTGCTTTCCTGACCTCAATATCTCCACCTTCAGAATATGTGGATCTTTGATTAATCAATTTGGTTTAAAAGGACAGACAGCGGCACCAAATTATGTAGTTCAGTGGTATAACTGTACTCACAGCAAATAGGTCTGGAAGTGTCATTAACATCAAGAAGCAAAACAATATGGTTAGATATTGTATCTGTAGATTTTTACATTTGTTTTTAATCATTGAATTAAATTGGTCATGATTCCTGTGCATTCCTTCAGAAGCAGGTATTCCAGGTTTATTAAATTCCACTGTGTTGCTAGAAATTGTTCCAAAACTCTGAAGAGGGAACTGGGAAATTTAAACTGTGGAGAAAAATAGGAAAGAAAAATAAATTAGGTTCCGCGCATTGATTCCTTCAAGGAAAGACGGTAGGAGGCCTCCTCATCTGGTGCCTATAAAATGGGTGTAGAGTAATCCTAATTTTTGGTTAAATTCAACAGCCCTGATATGTATGGAAACAAGTAGAGTGCTAATAACATATTTGTACAGAAAGTGTTATCTGAAGAGGGAAAAGCTTGGCGTAGATGTCTTGCCTTCTCCATCAGTCCTCCCATAATGCTCTCAGGCATACAAAAGCTGTATATGTGCCGAGCGTCTGCCTTTGATTAGGCTCCTGTGTTGGGCTGTTACAATTAATAATACCGACATATAGAATTAATAGCTAATCAGGGCTAACACATCACTGCACTGAAAACTAGTCTGTTGGAAACTGGTGTGAAGACAAAGTCATAGTAGTCGGAGCTCTCCATGAAAAGTCACCTGCACAGGGATACAGCTGTACTGCCTTTGTTATGCCAGGGAAACGCATCTCTGTTTGTTATGAATGTTGAATATTAGCAACGAAATGCCCAGAGAAAGGCCACTTATTTTAAACACAAGCTGGAAGCATTCTGTAATATAGCCACCTGACCCTGGCCTGACTGAAATTTTATCTTTCAAATCATGATATAATTAAAAGCAATCTAATGTTTTTTTTTTTTAAGGCAATGACATTAGTTTCTTTGCAGGTACTGTAACCTAAACAATAGTTATCATTTCTAAATTGTTTCCCATATGAAAGCAATATCTCATTTTTAAATCAGATATTATATTTAGGATACTATAAGGAAAATCTTAAGGAAATACAGTGTGGCATAGAGGCTAAGCACATACGTCTATGCATGTGTATCAGTTCCATTAAAAATCCTCCAACTCCTACTTAAAAAGGTCATAACAGCTGTGAGTATTGATCTGTACAAAGCAGATTCTGGCAGTGTCTGGTTTATTAAAAGCTGATCTGTATTCTCTACAGAAATGAATTATTGTGCATTTTTTAATGACAGCGATCCATACAGTTTTTCTGAGCCATTGCTGGCACGTCACCAAAAAAAAGTGCACACCCCCCTCAGTCAAAACCCAGCAATGCTAAATGTTAATGTCGGGAACAGTGAAAAAAAAGTCATGCAAAAAAGATTGACTTGTTTTAGAAACCACCTCAAACATATTTTGCCAAAGAGCTGAAAATAATTGTGAAAAACGATACAGCCTTTTCTGCCAAGAGGCTAAACGCGATCATGACTCGTCTTTGCAAAGCCTGGGAAGAGCTGGAGCCAGACTTTAACCAAAAACCCAAACATCACAGGAATTAAATCCGCTTCTCATTTGACGCAGTGATACAGGACGCTGGCGCGTCACCGAGAGGAACGCGCCGCGGAGCGCCGTGCTGCCGAGGATGGCAGGTTACTGAAGAATGGGAAGAGCAGGCTAAACGAAACCCACAGAACGCCTGGGGCCAACATCAGCCCCCCAGACAGGGGTTGAGGAGGCTCGCTTGCAACTCACTCGGGAGCAGCCTAATTTTCCTAGTTACACTGTGTCTCTGACACTCTTCAGCTCATCTCTTGTTACCACTTATTTAGCTACCCAGGGATAAAAGCATTCTAGTGAAATGACAGCATCCAGCTATCTGGTCTAGGCTTTGTGACAAGCATGAGGCAGCATACTGTATAATGAGTGTGGGCAGAAAAAGTGGTATATTTACCATTTTTAAGGTTTGTATGTTCCCCATTGAAAGAAAGTTGTTTAAAAGCTAGCTTTACAGTATTAGAAAGATATATGTACAGTTAATATGTTATTAGTGGATCTTCAAATTTTCTGACCCTGTGGTTAAGGAACATCACCTTTAAAAGGGGTTATTTCTCTCTCCATGAATGGATTTTTTTTAAATCGTGAATTATGAGTAATAAAGAGAAACCCTTCATTTGCAACAAGCCTGAAAGCAATTTATTACACACTGAGAAAATACAGTGTAGAGGTTTACACTCTACATTTTAGCAATCAATATACTTTAATATTAAAGGCATTTGTTAAGTTCCTTTTCCCTGTAAGAACATATCTAAAAAGCAAAGCATTCTTCCTCAGAAACTCCTCATGAAGTCAAAGCTCTCTCTGTCAAATTAATAAATAGCCTCCTGCACTTCAGGTTACTTTCACCTTTAATGAATTTACTCTTAGACATCAACCTAGTTAATGGCAAATCATGGACATTAAAGAACTCAAGAAATATCTTCATTTCACAAACTCATCTGATGTCACCACTGGAGGCTAGGTACAATAATGAGAAGTGGGGTGCCTTTAGTTTATTCTCCAGCTAGAGTTTCCACCAAACTGCAACACAGAGCTTAGTTTCCTGCACGACTGTGGTCTCCTGCTACAGTGTGGAGAAACCATGAAGCACTGCCTCAGACTTCCTTGTTAACATCCAGGTCACAGAGTTGGATGCACCTGGTTTTCCCTCGCCTGTTTGTTGTTTGCCGGGTGGGAAATAAAGTGATTTATCGGCCGAATGGATACGCCTTCATCTGAGAGACAGCTGAAAAGAGATGGAATTAACCCCACAGAGTGCGCCAGCTAGCACTGCCTGCTCTGTGTTCATAGAGGAAATAGTCTGGCAGCCCGGACTGAAATGAGCTTCAAGAAATATTCTGAGTGCCCGTCAGTATAGTGTTCTTAGAAATAAACAGCTGGAGCATCTACAACAGTTGGAAAACTTTGTTAATTTATCTTTTCACGTGTTTATCTTTGTCTAGGTTATCTGGTTAAACTTTAAGTTATCAGATTGGCACAGACCTAGGAAAGGCAGGACTGAGCTAAATAGTTCTGGCTTAGTCCAAGAGAAGGCTCCATAACGGATTTCCCTCTCTTCTGGTGATGTTAATAACACAGAATATATCAGTCATGTAGAGCTTGCACACGCCGAACTATAAAACCTAAAGATTTTGCATTCAAAAGCCATAATACTTTTTTTTTCTTCTGCAAATATTCTTGACAAATTCCATTGACCAATGGGTGAATATTATTCTAAATGTTTTTCATCAAGTTTTAGATGATCCACAAATATGAGCAGCAATATCAACCAACACAGCTCAAGCCAGCTCTGCCTTGATTCCAAGACTATTCTTACCAGGATTCCTCGAACAGAGGAGGACAAACCCAGGACTGGAGCCACAGATTTCTAGAACCCAGCAGACTGACTGCTGAACCGCCTACACCAGGGCAACATATGCTTGTCAATGGAATAAACACAGAGGTGAAATGGCAAATGATATTTGTAGGTGGATGTGCCTCAGAAAAGTTCTTAATCACCAGTGTGTTCCTTCTTCATATCCTAGTGTTATGGTCTCAGTTGCTGTTTAATCTATAATCACAATTTTCTACTTGTAGTAGAAATCTTGGACAAAAGTAGCATCTGAAAGGCTTCCCAAAAGGTTGTGCATGAATTGTGCTGTTCTGGAAAATGTACTATTACGAGCTGCTAGTTTTACACTAGGCTTTTTAAAGGTTCTTTCCTCTAAATTTTAAAGGGCCTTATTTAGATGGGTGTGTTTCTCGATTGTCTCACAAACGTGGCTTTTTTTTTTGGCCATATTTCCACCCTCCAGTGTTTGTTTATAATGTGTGATTACACCCTTTGCTCATTAGGAATCACGATTTTTCTCCTGCTAACTCAATCTCACTTCCTCAAGAACAAATGTGTTTTTACGTAGGATTTCCTGCTCTCTGCACAGATACGCATGAGTGCCTCACTTAACTCCAGAGAGGGAGTGCTCCTACACAGTCATGCATTTTTCCACAAATACTTCTTTAAAAGAGTCAAAAGAAACTGCAAATGCAGCTGTGGCTCCACATGTGTATGCTTACAAAGATTGTGCACATTAAGCCTGTTGTGGCCATCTTATATACTCAATAGAAAAAACATTCTGTGTCAGTTTAATGCTTAGTTGTGACCCTGAGTAATAATCCTTGTAAACATACAATGAAGTGAAAATGTTCAAATAAATGTGAAAAACAACAGTCTACTAGTAAACGGACTGAGCACAGGATAGTGCTGTTCACAGTCTTTAAGAAGTTTTGCCTCACCACTTCTATCTTCTGTTCTCTGCAGTGGACTGCAGTGTTTTTTTTTTTATGACCAAAAGTAAAGCTGAGTGGTTTAATCTTTGCAATAGCATCTCAGTGGTCGAAATATGATACAGATGAAGGTACAGGAAATGCAGAGATCTAGACCCATGCGGACACAACAGTGTGATGCGCTGCGATTCCCTGCCTCTTCCACGCTTCACACTCTCCCTGGAAAACCCAGGCCCCAGATCCTAAAGGAAAGGCTGTGCCACAAACATAGCAAAGAAGAGCTAGCTAAGCCAAGACATTATTCAACTGCGCAAAAACAATGCATCATAATTCAATTATAGTTTCATTCAGGAATACGAGAGGCACACTTTCTCTCCTAAATGTTCTCAGTTTGCTTTGGCACAAAACGAGGCCTTGAGGAACCCTGTGAAAGCCCCGGAGCTGAAAACACACTTCTTCGTGTGCTCCTCAACACCCTGCCCCTCATAGCGGGGCAACGATTAAGGGTCCGCATGGCACCTCAAGTGTAAGAGACTCTAGCAAACCCTCTGAGTCCAGCAGGGGCCCCCGCTAACGGTCCTCTCTCTCTCTGCCTTTGTGTCCAAGCCCAGCAGGAACAGCGGTCCGCTCAGTCCTCCCCGACCTGCCTGTGAGCAGCCTTGAGGCTCATGCTGGCGGTCCGGAGAGGCGAGGGCGGGGGACCGGTCACTCCTTGGCCAGCCTCTCGATCAGTCTCCGCCACTCGGCCCGCTTCTGCGTGATGTGGGCGGGGGTGACGAGCTGGGCGAGGGGGGCGGGGGGCCCCCCGGGGCCCGCGCCCTCGCACAGGGCCTCGGCCATGCAGATGACGTACATGCCGCAGTCGTAGCTGTTCTGCTGCGCGGGGGCCGGCTCCTCCGCGAAGGGCACCCCCCCCGCCGACCCCAGGAAGGCCTCCAGCTTGGCGGCGATGCGGCGGGCGTGCAGGGCGTTGCCGCCGCTGTGGGAGTCGTAGTGGGCGAAGCGGCCGCGGTCGCGGCGGTACAGCAGCAGGCTCCAGTGGGTGCCGCCGGCCGCCTGGCTGGAGTTGTCGTTGACCGCGAGGAAGACCCAGCGGCGCCGCGGCAGCCCGAGGGGCTCTAGGAACAGCGCCAGCTCCTGCTGGCTGGAGGCGCACTTGATGAACTGCGTGACCTCGGGGCTGATGAAGCAGGCCGCCCCCCGCAGGTCCCGGAAGCGCTCGGTGCCAAAGTACTCGAAGGCGAAGCCGATCACCTGGTCGTTCAGCCAGTGGGGCCCCTCCAGCAGGGCCACGTCTGAGCGTCTCAGCAGGCTATCCTGGTAGCTCAGAACCACCGGGTCCATTCTCCAAGGCAGGGAGAGACACTCCACCTAGGAGACCAAGGACGGAGATGACGGCCACTGGACCAAGCATGTGTGGTAAGAAACCAGATCATCAATATCATCAACAGTTAGCAAAATCATCGGATCTGCCGAAGCTGGTTGGTATCAGCTCTCTAGTATGTTTCTATAATAGCTAGTTAATTCGCTCACATTACATTAAAAAAAGAACAGGAGGATCCGTTAACATAGTTCGCATTATCCATTTAATGTAGTGTTAGTGCTTCTTCTAGTGTGTTCACAATTTGTAGGGCTCCTTTTCCCTTTACAACTCACGAGCGATTAAGACTGAACTGACCTGAGGAACAGAGGGGTCATACAGCATTGTTCTTGAATCAGGCTTAACGGTGGCATAAATTGAAATAGCTGTAGCCATTAGCGATAGCTTTTCTGCTTACTAATGAACCAGACAGAAGGGGATCAGCCTGGAGTAAAAATGTTTGAAAAAAATCCCTAATTATGGGATCTGCCAGCTCTCCCTTCTGAAGTCACTCATTCCCCCCCAAGGGACATGTGCTCCTGCAGTCATCTGGAAGAAAGCAGCCTCTGGCATCTGAAGGAAATGTACATCTGAAGACATGAAAGTGCTCCTGTTTTCTGCTACCATCTTTGTAATTGGGAAGTGTTGGAAATAAACTCCTGGAGCAGTTTTTGAAGAGGTGTGAGTTGAGTGGCATACTAACCATTTATAAGCACATATCCATGAAAGAAAGGGGTTAAACGTCTCATGGGAGCTAAGCCTTCTTTTGTGCTAATGCTCAGTTTAGAGGCTATTGTCTCTGTCAGGACTGCCACATTCAACAGTCTGAAAGTGTGCGTATTCTGATACGTACAGTATATCCTTTGAAGCAGTTTCATCCTTTATCTCGGCGCATAAACTGTGAAAGTATTTACCTCTGTTGCAATAGATTAAGATTAGAATAAACTAGTGGCTGAATATTCTTTGTCACAAGAAACATCATAACAATAATTCCTTAAACTTACTGCTTTTCTGGACACTCCACTCAAAGCTCTTTACAGTAATGGGGATCCCCTCCACCACCACCAGTGTGCAGCTTCACCCGGATGATGCAACTGCAGCTACAGTGCACCAGTACACTCCCCACACACCAGTTATTAGTGGGGAGGAGAACAGAGTGATGAAGCCAATTCATAGATGGGAATTATTAGGAGGCCATGATTGGTAAGGGCCAATGGGAAATTTGGCCAGGACGCCAAACATCCCTACTCTTCTCGAGAAACACCCTGGGATTATTAATGACCATAGAGAGTCAGGACCTCGGTTTTGTCGGTTTTATGTTTATGCCAAAGGATGGCGGCATTTTCTGTACAGTATAGTGTACCCAAGGTATTTATATTATATGACTGTAATACTCTTATTTTTAACATACTTGTTAACATCATTGTTTCAGTTGGTTTGCAAAAACTGTAGTGAAAAAATTAGCTTTTTAAAATAAATTGCCTTTGTTTTTTATTCTTAATTAACAGGTTAGTTTAAGGAACAGCTAAGCATCTGTAAAATACAGTATCCTAAGTATCAAGAAAATACAAATGATCCGTAAGGGAAACTGTAAATTACAGGGATGCCAATGCACTATGGAAAGTTTCTTGAATTTTTTAATCTACTCTACTAGGAAGCTTCTCAAATATCAATAATGCATGTGTAGCCCCTGGTTAGAAAGCTTGTATGACCTCCTAGGTCACTAATGCAATTCCAGATAAATGGAATACATTTCACCCATACATAGTGCAATTGATCATTGATATAGAGGGGTAATAAAAGATTAAATGTAAAAAAACACTTTTCAAATGACTGGATAAACGGGAAATCATGTAGCATCTGGATACACTTCAGTGCTATGTATACAATGCTCCAGTGTGCACGTTACTGTATTGGAGTACGTCTGGCGAAACGTGCTGTTAAATAAGTCATGACAAGCCTTGAATAACAGAATTCTGGGATTCATTAACCTAATACACCGAGTTCACACTGTAAATACATGTTTATGCCTCAAAAACGTTTTGAATAGTTAATTTTCTTAACAGAACTTCAATTATGGCTTTATGGTTACAACCAAAAGAGAATTTTGTCTGAAACAAACCGATGCGAGGTCGGCAGGTCTGCTTTTTTTTTAATCAACGAACAACAGTAATTTTCTATATCGCTTCATATCCCACAGCACATACAGTATATGATTTCAGAGTAACGGTCTTTTATTTCGAAATGTTTTCATGGCGTATTGTATTTACAGAGAGTCGTACTTCAAAAGAAACACTGCACGAACTGTTAGCTTTACTTAACGTTACGTTCACAGGGAAAAATGATATATACATGATATATATGATCAAATACAGATTGTAGATTTGTAACACACTGTACTGCATTGCGCACATTATTGATCACTCAGAAACCTCCCTCTTTCTTAACGCCAGGGGTTATTTTTCTGCATTCGGCGTTTTGCTGAACACCCACTCAAAAGATGTATCCTAGCCTTACCTTGGACAACACTCACTCGCTGCTCTGCACGGGATATTTTTTTTAGGTTCCTCGTTCTCTCATTGCAGACCGAAGAAAACCGACGTGTAACGTAAAGCAGTTTTGCAGCTTTCCCGCAAGGCTGACTCGTTGTTCGGGGGGGGTATGATTTCACGACAGAAGTGCGGGGCAGCAGTGGTTCCCAAGCACGAGGGCGCCCCCTTCCGCCTCTTCGGCTTTTCCTTCGGTCTCGGTCCGCGATGCGTCACGCCGAGCCACGGGCGCTCCCTGCGCCCTCCCACGCGAGCTCGCCAGGCACGGCCTTCCGCCACCGCCCCCCCCTCCCCTCCCCTCCCCGTCCTCGCCTGGAGGAGCCGCGGGGGCGCGCGTCGTGCGCGTGCGCCAGCGCCTGCACTGATTAGCAGGCGGAAAAAAAAAAATCTTGGCAGTCCGAGCCGCGCGCGGGGCGAGCGAGAGAGACGACGAGAGGGGGTCCTGCTTTTTTTTTTTAAAAAAAAAACAAATTCTCAGAAGGGAAACATAGCGGGATTAACCGACGCGTTTTTCGCGTCGAAGCTCTGGATTTTACACTCGCGGCAAGCCGCCGAGGAGGATTAATTGAACCCCCGCTCCCTCCCCTCACACGTCTTCTACGGGACCGACCGACGTCGCCGGGGATTTCACATCGGACGTCTCGAGCTCTCGAGCTCCGTCTCCGCGAGCGCACGGGGAGCGCGCGCCAGCCCCCCCCGCCCCCCGAAGACGAGCCGCTCGCTCGCTGGCTCGCTGGCGGGCGCGCGCCGGAGTGCATACAGCCCGGAGTGGAGGTAAGACTGGAGACTTTGTATCGGTCGCGTTTTGTCAGCCGCTAACAGCGCGTAACTTCGCGGCAGGCAAACCCCCGCGGCCGGCTCCGGCGCTGCGGCGGACGGTCACGCCAGGCAGGTACCGAAATCCCATTCATCTGGCTGCACGCCTGGGAATGCCCACAGCCCGCTTGCATGTCTCCCAGCGCTGAAACATCCCTTGTCCCAGTGTAAAAACACCGCCGCGTCGCCGTTTCTTTACTAACGGTGCTGATGGGATTGTTGAAAGAAATGCTCGTTAAAAATTTTTCTTTGGGAGTTCTTTTTTTTTTTTTGGAATCGCCGTGCTCGGCTGTTTTGTGAAAGCGCAGCCTGCGGTTTTTGTGTTCTCCTTACTGCTCGTACTACACTATATAGAGGCGAGCCCAGTGGCTCCTGCGCTGTTTCGGGGGGTCCTGGGGTTCTGCAGTCTGCAGCTCGAGTAAGTAATTCAGGCGGACTTGACTCGGGGTTGGACGGAAAGTCGCAGCAAGGAATGAATGAAACGGTGTTTTTTTTTTTTAAAGGCGAGGACGCTAAAATAAAATTCGGCGCCGGGACTTCATGACGCATTCTTTACGCTCCGGTCACCAGTTAACACCATTGCTGGGTTTCAATGGTGAAGAAAATGGAACTGGAGCCCTAGACGTGCACGTTGGTTTAGGGGCATGTAGCTGGTGTCATCATGCCGTCTTTCTCCCTGCGGTTCTGACAAAGAAAAATCTCCCCTGCGACCCTTTTCGCTCACTTGTTGTGTCGAGGGGAAGAGGGGACTCGCGTGTGTGGTGCGAGACCCTGAAGGCGCTCACCTGACAGGTTTTTGGGCGCCAGGCGATCGTGGCGTTGTGTTGACGGAAAGCGGTGTTGTGCTGGGGGGGTTTGGTTGTGAAAGTGTGTGCGCTGGGTCGCATCTGCATCGGCGTTCAGAGGCAAGAGGGTCAGTCCGTGCCTCGTGCGTTCGATGTGTAAAATAAGTACCGGACACCCCACAGCCTGATTCCTCGGCAGCTGGGGAGAAAAGGCATTCCGACGACACCTCGAGGGGCTCTGGTTTCAGCTGCAGGTCATTTAAACAGGGGTGGGATCGGGCTCCGTCGAGCTGGTAGCTGGGCGGACGCATCAGGCAGATGACGACGGGGGTAAACACCGTAGGAGCGAATTGCGTTTTATCATGACAGATGGAAGTTTTTGTTTTTTTTTTTAACCTACGTAGAGGGCTGTTTCTTTTGTCCCCCTTTCTTATAATACATTTCGCGTTGTGACTGGTCCCTTTGTAGCCTGATCAGTTGTTGTTGATAAGGTGAAATTAGTTTTTTCTCCTCATATATACATATATATGAATACGTTGCATTATGAAATGAGTGATTCCTTTTTCCTGCGCTGTATCACAAACTGGTGAACAGATTTTCTTTAGCTCTGTTGCGCTGCGATCCTTCTCCTCAACAAACAGTTCTCTGCTTGAGCTGTGACAAGTCTCCTCAGAAGTTGTTTTTTTTTTATTGTCGTAGCTGTTGGGCAGTGCCAACATAAGCAGTGCGCACAGTGATTGCGACAGAATCAGTCTGTGCGTGTTGGCTAAAGCGGTGTATCTAATATAGCCGGACAAATCTATGAAATTACATCAAAATGCAAGCAGTTCTACATTACACTACTAGAAAATAACCCTGAACCCCTTAGTTTGTGTAACTGAGTAGCAAAGAGAATATACTTTTTACAGTATATTTAATGCCCACCCCTGCACTGGTAGTTGTGTTGTATACAGGCAAGGCGTGAGTCCTGCTAAGACTCTTGTCTGCTGGATGTTCGCAGCTGGCCAGGCTTGGTGCACAAGGGCCTTAAAGACTGCTGCTGGTGCAGAGCTGCTCCGCTGGTACATGGCTCTGTCGTGTGGGAGCTGCAGTCCCTACAGCGTCCTCGCAAACTGCCCAGCGAGTCTCTGCACGTGGGACCTGACACCCTGCCCTGCTTGCAGAATCATTTTCAAAACCGTACCGGCTCGGCAGCCACGGCAGAACGTACAGTCCAGCGTTGAAGCAGTGTTATCCGAGGCCAGACAATGATGTCTCTGTAGCAGAGGGTGGAGCGATGGCTAGGAGCACTGGACTGCAGACAGCGGGATCCGTGGATCTGATCCTGAGGGGGACGCGGCTGCTGGACCTTTCCCTCCGGTCAGACGGGGACTAGAACTGAACACGCTCTGGCTCTTCGTAAGTGAGAAGTTGTTCTCAACTGACACATCTGGTTAAGAAAAGGAATAACATAAATACTGGTAAAGGAAACTGGGGGGGAAACAAGTTTTGTGTGGGTGAAGAAGTCCCATCTTGAGAAACTAGCAATCGCACGTGTGCCGTGTAATTGCAGAATTCTGCAGGAGCTGTCGGGGTGTCTGGCAGGTGTTGCAAGCTTTCAGGGAAACTAATTATAGTGTTTTTTACTAACTGGCCGTGCCGGAGAGTTTCACTGCATGCCTTGTGTGGCGTAGAGTACACACGGGGCAAGTTTAAGGAGCCGCATCTTTGCGTAGCACAAAAGAAGACTGAATTGACGTTGGTGTAATGGGAAGATAATTAAGAATGGGTGAGGGTGACGCGTGGTGCCACATTGGAGGCATTGCATTGTTATTCTCAGACGTGATCTAAACCCTTTGTGAGCTCTCTAACAACAAGTGTTTTCTGTTTCGCAAATTAGCTGATGAAAGCAGCCAGGAGAGCTTGATGTGGTTTTGAATGGTGCACTTTCAAAGCCAGAAGAAAACGCCTTTGTTTTAGGGAAGGATGGTTTGTCTTCTAATCGGCAGTAGGTTTGAAGCCTGCAGGCACCCTTGGCGATGCGGCGTCTGAGGAGAAGAATCGCTCCGCAGTTGGAAGTGCTCCGGCATAAAATATTCATCAGCGCTAAAAATAAAGTAAAGCTTTTGACATCATTCCCCCTTCGCTGTACAAGATTGTTGAGCCATGACAAGGCCGTTTGGAAAGTGCTTTGCAGCATCGGCTTCCTGAACAGGAGGAAGTTGTGGAGAGAGGCAAGAACAGTAATTGTGTTCATGAAGCCACCTCATAATCAGGGCATTGTAAAAATAAGAAGTACTGTAAGTGTAATGGGAATCGCACAATGTCATATGCAGCTACTAGGTGACTTCATTAACCAGGAAAGAGATGCCAGCACAGCTGATGTGCTACCAATGAACACAGAAATTAAAACACTGAAAGTCTGATTCAGTGAAATGTGTGTTAAAACAAGATTGGCCAAGCACAGCTTGTACTGGATCAGTATGTCTAGGGAGGCTGTCAGTGTGCTGCAAATTTTTACACTTATGTAGGAGTGCTGAGGGATGGAAGAGTTTGAGAAAGCAGTGCACTAGATGATGCTCTGGAACATATTTTTCATTAAAACATGTGTTGCCTTGGCTGCATTTGCCAATGTCTGTGAGCGGACTGAAAAGAGGTCGCCAAGATTCGCAGTGTTTGATGAGGTAAGGCAACGGCTCTGTGGTTATTTGTAGTCATAATTACTGTAAGTGATCACGCCGAGAGGTTTGAAATGAACTTCAGTGTCAGATGGAGGAGAGGTGTGTTCCTCACCAACAGCGTCACTTGCCTGCATGTCTGCAGGGGTTACAGTGCCACTGAGAGCCGAGACAGGACCTGGCCATCGTACCCCACCCCACCCTCGGTGGCACTTGACCAATTGGGAGTGCCAGTCACAGTCGGCTAGTGACATGACCTAGTCTCGAACCCATGGTCGTAGAACTCAGCCTGCAAAAGGCTCAGAATGCCATTACTGGTTGACCCACTCTAGCAGTCCCTGTTTCCATGTCTGTGAAGGACCCTGGAAAGTTGGGAAGCAGTCGTGTTTCTTTCAACTGGAAGTGACCCCTTAGGAAGTCAAAGAGAGCTAACTTAGTGGCTGCGGTCCACTCTCACCAGTGTCCACAGGAACACATGAAAGGTCTCATGGTCAGCTGCTCTGAGTAGTATGTCCTGAAGATACATACGTGATGAATGATTGCTTGGTGAGCACCACTTTTCGAAATGTTTCCTACTCTTGTTTCTTCATGGAATGGTTGGATATATAATTGATGTCGTAGCCTGTTTTGTAGGTACTGTACACCTTGTAGGATAGTCAGTTTTGGGCTTTTTGAATGACCTTATATGAAAAGTCCATTAGCTGTAAAATTTAGCCAAATAGTTTCATTGGAATGGGTCAAAGAGGAAGCAGGAGAATTTGAGTCCTTATTAAATCTATTTTACAAATGGACAGTTTAATAACTCAAGTTTGATGCCTTGTATTTGGAAGTTTGCAAAGACAATTTGGAACTCAGGCGTCAGTCCCGAGTCTCTTGCATGCTTTTGTCATTTTACTTAACATTCTTCTCATGACGAGGGATTGAGGAGATCAGTATCGTATGTAAATTTTGCACAAGGTAAGAATTACAAATTGGATCACACATGAGAACTATTCTATGTAAATATATTTTGGCACAGATTTATGTAAACTTTGCAAACCATAAGTAAATAAGTCATAATATTTATTTAAACACTCTAACATGCACCCAAATGGCTTATTTGTATCTTGGAAACATTATCTGTTTTTCTTCAATGATGTTTATTAAAGCCAGAGAAAGGACTTGTACAGGGGGGAACCATAGCAGACCTTAGTTTGAAGGATCATCTAAATACTTGTACTACAGGAACTATGACTGTCCGTGTCAATGCACCTGTCATGTATTTTATTGTCTTTAGGCTTTTGAACACACTTGGTAAGTTTGACATACTCTTGGAAATGCGTGGTGTGTCCTTCACTTCTGCCTGTTCAAAAAATAACAATTAAGAATTATTCTCTTATAACCTCTTATAAACAATAGAAACATTATTTTATATAAATATATTTCTAATCTAAATCTGTTCAATAATTCTGTTGTTCTGATTTTACAGCAGTGTGTTTTTGCTTGTCCTTTTACTTACCAGGATAAAAGCTTTGGACTGGAGTCTAATTTGTCAGCAGTGGTTACAAATCTGCTCTGGTTGTGTGTCATGGTTGGCATTTGGAACTGTTCACTGCTGTGCCATTTCTGGGATGTATAACAAATTATTTCCTCATAGTGTGTGACTGTGTGCCCTTTCAGGTTCTGTATTCAACTAATTTCGTGTTTTATTTGCCCCCTTTTATATCAGAAATGATTTTTTGTTCTTTACATATATCTTTTCCCTTTCCTTCAGTGAAGTTGTCCATTTTTCTCTAAGAAAAGAGAAATATTAACATCTACTTCCATGGTTCTGTTGCTTTAGTACCGAACCCTATATCCCTTAATGCTGCATTCTGATATTTCATTTTTCTGTGGAATGTTTCTGTAATGGGAGCTGGTCCAGGCTCCCGGGAAGCGTAGTTCTGGACCCTGTGCAGACGGTACAATAGAAAGTGGAAAAGGACGACGGGAGGAGATGACGAGGATCAGGGCAGGGTGACAGACAGGGGGGTGTGGCGATGGTGAACTGGTGCTCGTGGGGCGTGAGCAAGGTGCACTAGTGCAAGGAGTCGGGGGGGGGAATCCGGGGTGAAGTCCAAAAGTCCAAAAGTCCAAAACTGGGTGATCCAAACGAGACGGGACAAAAACGGGAGTTAAAAACCGGAACGGGATGCGGTGCAGGGACGGGGAATAAAAAACGGAACGACGAGGCCAGGACTCAGCTGGCGTAGTCAGGACGCTGATAGGAGGCCTGTGGCCTCGAGCTGCGGACGCAGGGCGACTTCATGGTAGACGGGTCTCCGGACGTCCGTCTTCCAGTGCAGAGCCCGGAGTAGCGAGAGCGCCCGGCTTAAATAAGGAGGGGCAGGATTGGGGGCAGGAGCACGTAGTCAGCAAAATGTGAAAGAGCCGGAGCACCCTTAAGGGGGGAGGGGTTACGATTGTGACAGTTTGCTCTTTTGAGGGGTGCCTGACTGAGCCCTGGTAACGTGGCAGTAGGCTCACAGAATACGCAGCTCTGATTTTGAGTATGTGCATGAACACTCTGATTTTGAGTATGTGCATGAACACTCTGATGTTGAGTATGTGCATGAACACTCTGATGTTGAGTATGTGCATGAACACTCTGATGTTGAGTATGTGCATGAACACTCTGATGTTGAGTATTCACACTCCCTGAGGTAGGCCTGATGGAGCTTGGTGTCACTGCACTGTCACAGGGAAGCTGACACATCCAAATAAGCCAGTGTGCCTGGTGAAAACTTAAATTGGACTGTAGACCTCTGTCCAATCTCTCAATTTGGCTAATGTAGGCTAATGTTTTCATCCAAAATGACTTACATCTGTACCTGTTTATGTAGCTGGGCATTTTACCAAAGCAAATCTGAGTGAAGTACTTTGCTGAAGGGTACAATAGCAGTGCTGCACCTGGATTCACAACTACAACCTTCCCGTTGTGAACCCAGGACCCT